GTGTGTGTGTGTGTGTGTGTGTGTGTGTGTGTGTGTGTCATTCCACGTTCTCCTGAGTGTTGTGTAGGTTTTTACTTGAGCTCTTCGGGTTCAATTTGTATTCATACAAAACATAACAGGATAAATTTAGACCAATGATACAAATGATGACTAAAGAGTACAGAACAACGTCTTACAAGTGTAGAGGTGGACTCCGGACCATCAGTCTGTTTGAGACAAAGTGGACTTAATAGAAGAGGAGGAGGACAAGTCAGAAAAAGAGAAGAACTGGAATCTGCCCTACCACAAAGGTTCTGGACCAGACGAGACAAAACTGGAGGTTTTTTTTTTTGGCAACAAGTCCCATCAGCTTTGTGTTCACAGATCCTAACATAAAATAAAGCAAGAACAGAACCCTGGACTTACAATGGAACATGGAGGCTTGATTCTGTTCTGGACCTGCTTTGCTGCATCTGAATCTGTTTAGCTTATGGAATCTCAAGACTATCAAGGCCTTCTGGAGAGAGTTGTTGCTGAGTACAAGGTTATGGGTCCAACAGGATAAAAACCCCAAAACACTCGAGAATGGATCAGAACAAAATATTGGACTGTTCTGAAGTGAACTTCTGAGCCCTGATCTAAATCCTGTTGAATATCTGTGGAAGAAGCTGAAACATCTGGAGGACCTGAGACAACTGCAGTAGTTTATTCATGAGTGGACCAGGACACCTGAGAACAGGTGAAGAGGTCTCAGAGAAAGAACCACCTGGTTTCAGTGAATGACTAAAAAGGTTCAGCAACAAACCTTTGAGGCCTTTTTCCTTTGATCATATAAATGTCAAATTGCCTTTATTTGGCTTTGCTAGGGTTTATTTATAATGGTACAGTTTCTGAATTAAAGAATATTTAAAAAATGTTTATTTATCCAGCAAACAGTTTATACAACATGGGTGTAAAACTCAGGAAATGAAAACACATCTGGTCTTTTGCTGAAGTTTGTTTGTTGAATCTGTTTTCTTCCTGGTTTTAGGATGCGCACTCTGCTGCTGAACACCTTCAGCCTCTCAGAGGACAGCATCACTGTGGACAATGTCTTTGAGTGGGTTACCCAGCTGAATTCAACCTATCCAGASCAGTTGGCTGAACTCAGCGGCAGACTGGAAGACTGCAACCTCGAGGATGAACTGAGCACCGTATGTAGCTCTACACAGACAGTTTTGTTGTTTTTAACTGTTAAAACAAGAAGAATACAACCTTTCTCAGTTTAATGAAAATAGTCCTGGTAGTGTGATACGATGGTTAGTTCTGTTGGTTCTGACCCAATCTAGGCTCTGTGTGCAGTTTCATGTGTATAGTATCACAGCCAAAGTGAAATCTATTTGGAAACGTTATAGTCCGCCTCCAATGGAAGATAATAATTTTGCTCTTGTTTGTGTTTGTTTCTCAGCAAAATATCTTATTAACCACTGGATGTATTTTAATCAAACTTTGAAGAAAAAATCATTATGTACCCTGAGAAGTATTAACACTAAAAGTTTTTTTTATATCAACTATAGCAAAGGTGCGTCTCCGTTTAACTTTTAATTTATTTTCAGAAACACTAACATTATAATGAAAACAACAATAATAATAAAAGAGTTACATAATCATAATTCAACATTTATTGGTGTTTTATTCCTTTGTGTCCATAGTTCGAGTACAGCTACAATTCAGGGTTAGTGTTCGGGCTCAACTCATTTAAAACTTTGGAAACTTTAAATGTCTTTTAACTTTCTACTGTCAGCTGAACTTCTTTGAAAACACAAACTATGTATTTAAGAAATACTCAAAGACTCAGAGGATTATTTGTCTGGGTGTCACTTTATAAATTAATTTACCATGTCTGGAATAGAACATTTCATCTTACTTCTTGGTTTGGTCTCTTGAAAACTAATAAAATCATCAGGATTGCGTTGATGTTAAATCAAAACCTAAAGACACGTGATCCACCTCTGACAGGATAATACAGAAGATTACTGTAGACAGCCTCCTTTCAGTTAGTTTGAGCTTCTCTAGAAGCAGAAGAGAGTTCCTTAGGCTTTGAACTTTATTCTATGAGCATTCTTTATTCACTAAAAAGACCRGTCCACGGTAACAAACTGAGCTTGATGTATTAGAACTAGCACAGACTACTGGACCTGGTTGATTTTATTTCACCCTTATTGAGTTTCTGCTTTGCTTTAACTCGTTTTCATAAAACATTCTTATTGTTTGTGGCCATATAAACGATGCATTTGAATTATTTAATCTGAATACATTTCAATCCAATCAAAGAGTTTTGAGTGTGTAAACATAGCTAATGAGTTGTTTTACTATTGAGGACAAATGTCCTGACTCTGAGCCCTGTCTCTGACTCCAGCATGTGTCCTGGTTTGCTTTCAGGCCGTGGAAGGGACCGGTCTGGCCTTCATCGTGTACAGTGAGGCCATCACCAACATGCCTCTGTCTCAGCTGTGGTCAGTGCTCTACTTCGTCATGCTCCTGCTGCTGGGGATGGGCAGCATGCTGGGAAACGTCACGGCCATCATCACCCCTCTGCGAGACTTCAAGGTGGTGTCTCGCATAAGCAACGAGTTTTTTAACGGTAAGAAGCCCAGCTCTTTGTGCACTCCTGCAGCTTGAGTAACCTCTGCTTTTCGTCAGTCCCTCACAAGTTTCTCACTCACTCTAAAGTTTGTTTCTGCTACTCGATTACCATTTGGGCTGCATCTTGTCGGTAGGCTTATCTAGACGGTAATGTTTACTCCTTGGTTTTTGTCAGTATGAAGTAACATTTAACGCATCGTTCAAAAAATGTGCGATGTAGGGAAAAAACATCTCATGACAGAATTTCTCCTGTTTAAAGCCGTCATCCCAATCAATATTTTAAATGTTGTTTTTGTGTATAAATGATTCAAAATAAAAAGATTTAAAAGCAATTGAGTGGGTCTTCTAGACGAGTTCTTTGTTGAAAAAATGTCTTGTCTCTTCTCCAAGAGACTTCTTTAGTTTGAGGTCCAGAGGACCTACTCAACTTTTTTATTTTTCTACCTGGATTATTGAGATGCATCAGGACCTTTGCATCAAAAACCTTTCCTTTGAAGACAGTAAACTGTGTGAGAGTTGGTGTTGGTCCTGAAGAAGTCTGGAAGTCCAGTTAGGTCCTGGAAGTTGACTTGAACATATTTCTGGGGTTTCAGTTAGTTTTTATAGAGACCAGTTCTTGTAGAGACCTGACCTAAGACATGTTTTTCTTCCAGGTATAGTGTGTGTGCTCTGTTTGCTGCTGGGTCTGGGCTTCACCACTCCATCAGGAAACTACTGGTTCACCATGTTCAACGACTACGGAGCCACGCTCTCCCTTCTCTTCATCGTTCTGATTGAAGTCRTCACTATCAGCTACTACTATGGCATCGGAAGGTTGGTGTCTCTGTGAAYGATGTGTTTATCTTTGTGTTGGTGAAACAAGAAGCTTCTGTTCAAAGCAGATCTGCGTGYCAACAGAGCTGCAGCTTATTCAGTGTGATGTGGCCATTTAAAGATGGTGACTGTTTCTGCTCTGAGGAAAGGCAGAAACTGGAAACAACTCAAACTCATGATTGGAAATACATCCTGTATGTAGACTTTTAAATAATCTGAAAAAGTAACCTGAAATATTAAAAATGCACATGAATTTATGTTGAAATATGCCTATTAAATATTAAATACACTGAAAAAAGTATTATATAATGTGTTTTATAATCAGCAACCTATCAGTGAATCTGCATCAACAACCAGAGTGAGAACCACAACAAAGTCCAGTTTTGTTTTGATTCTCACTACTCACAATTTTTTACTGAGTTAGAGTTTGGACTTCAGAAAGAAAAGACTTGAGTCTGGTTTATTTTAGGTCCAGGCAAGCATGGCTCTAAACCCCCAGACAGCAGAACTCAGCACAGTAACGACTGAAAACACCCCAACRTCTAACTACCACTGCATCAAAACTATTCTATCAATCAAAATGCAAAGTTTAATAAATAAAAGTTAAATTAAAAACATTCTATTAGTTGTTAAATATTTTAATTTGATAACCGCAATCACTTGCATTGATCGAGGCAATTTTCCCCAAACCCTCTTTTTTGACTTGGGGGAACGGTCCGAAGACCAGCTGGCAGTGCGAGAAAAAATGTTTCTGTCTGCCTCCTGGAAAATGTCCTGGTGCTGTTGAAATCTGATCAGCACTAATTTTTATATCACCATATTTCCAAGCGTAAGACAACCCTTTTAAAGACGCGTTGTTTGTCCGACTATAAGTAGTTTGTTAAAAACCAAAAAGTTACTTTTTTATTCTCAGTATTTCTTTGTCTTTTTCGGTTCAATCCCAAAAAAAAAAAACATAGGCAAACTAGATATCAGAATAAACTTTGGGACATAAACTTCTCAAAAGTAAAACAAGGAATGTCATACTATGAGACAGCACTGAACCATTGAAACTTGGGAGATTTCCATTTGACATTCACAGCACATTTAGAACAGGTATAGGTATATATGGTAAATGGTAAATGGACTGAACTTATATAGCACTTTGTGAAGTCCCTGCATCCCAAAGCTTTTTACACTTCCAGACGTTCACCCATTCACACACACATTCACACACTGATGACGGTAAGCTACATTGTAGCCACAGCTGCCCTGGAGTAGGTATAAACCCATATTCATTCTAATATAGAACAAAAACTAAAAGAGGAAAAGTGGATTTTATTAGATTGAGACAAATTTACCATAGACATGTAATAGGTAAATTAATTTAGTAATTTTTCCACCTTCAAATTGTTAAGGCTAAATAACTTTTCCCAAGCAAGCCGAGGTGTTCTACCTTCATAGTTCTTTAGCAAAAAGCAAGGTTTGCGGTAATGAGAGATAACAGAAAGAAAATTACAGGCCTCGAAATGCCATATTTCCAATTTAGACTGGCTCAAATGCACTGTAAAAACATAGTTTTACCCAAACCCTCTGTCTATCTGTATGCTGAAAACCGTTTAATGAATCAAACAAAACTTTGTGCCTTTTTTAATACCAAAATAATGTGTTAAAGCAAAATAATAATAATAATAATAATAATATTAATAATAATAATAATAATAAATAAAAAGCTCTAACTTGTGAATTTTAAACTTTGAGTGCCCGAATATATTTATCGTCTACAAGAAGTGAGACGTTGTGTCTATGACTTGATGAAAATGGCATCTCCAGAAAGAACTTCTGTCTCGTAGAGTATGTGTCCAGTTGTGTGATTGCATGGTCAGAAATTTGTGGGGTGTGTGTTTATGAAAAGCAGATGCAGCAAGTTGATCCTATTTCTGCTTCACTGAGGAGCAGTTGGCCTAGGCTGTTCAAAAATACTGCTGTTTTTACAGCTATTCCAGCAAAACTGTAAAGAAATTCAAGTAAAACTTATAAAGAAGAGCTTGTGGAAGGACATGGAGGAGACAGCGTGGAGACACCAGCGGTAGTCTCTTTGTTATAAAACACTTTTCTTCAGTTTACAACAGAAATAGCAGATTTTCCTCCTCCAACTCCCCCACCATCAACTAAAAACTTAAACTCAGAAATATGAAACACATATGTAGAAGATAAACTTTACAAAAACCATGAAGTGTAACAGACCACTTCCTAACCCTGATTGGTTTTGACCTAACAGTTTTCTCAACCAAAACCAGGCCCTAGATGTAAAATGGCAGAGTTAATTAAAAAGAGTTCTTTCACTCATTTTAGATTTGAAAAGGACATCGAAGACATGCTTGGTCATCGCCCTAACTGGTTTTGGAAGATCATGTGGGCAGGAGTCAGTCCTCTTCTCCTCATCGCCATCTTGTTGTTCTACATCGTCAGCTACATCCAGGGAGGAACCCCTACGTACCAGGCATGGAACAAAGACCTGGTGAGTTCTTAGGTCTCCGTCCAGGTTGATGTAAAATATGTGACCAGGTTGAATGATGTTTGATCCCAGTGTAGATCATTTTATTTGGTCTGAATAGTGATGGAGATATTAGCATGTCTTATTATTGGGTAATCATGTTCTAGTATTTGGTGGTTATGTCTTTAAACAGTATGCTTTTGTTAAACAGTTTTATTTCCACCAGCTTCAGCCAGTAGTTTTCTGGAATGTTGTCCCAGGTTTGTAGGCTGCCTCGCTCACACTCAGCTTTTCAGCTCTGTCCAAAAATATCTTAATGAGATTAGGGTTAGAACTTTGTGATGTTCGCTCCAAAACATTAACTTTTTGTCCTTCGTTGTTGACTTTGTTGTTGATGTTTTGAGATGTTGCTTCAATGTTTCTACATGTTCTTTCTTCATGATACCATTTTGTGAAGGTCACAAGTCCCTCCTGTTGTAAAACACTCACACCATGATTCTGCCTCCATTGATTGGTTCTTCTTGGATGTTGAGTCCTTTTTTTATTGATAGTTTATTGGAGACATTTGACTAGTTTTTGTTATATGTGGGTTTTTTTTTTCAGGTTCCAGGACACAAGCACTCGCCACTTTAAGTTGTTTATTATTTACAAATATTTAAAACAAGTTTAACTTTATTAATCTGGTGTATTTTCACCTTTAATGAAAAAAATAACCATCTAAGTTCCAGACTTTAAGGCAACAAAATAGTATTTTTACATGAATCTTGAAGTTTTTAGATGAATTCTGACTTTCACTGTGTTTTTTGTTGTTTTCAGGGTAAAACGGAGCAGACGGAGTACCCTGTGTTTGGGCAGGCCTTCATCGGACTTCTTCTGGTCTCAGCCGTGAGCTGTGTCCCCCTCACAGCTCTCTACGTCTTCATCCAGAGGAGAAAACAGCTTCATCAGCGTACACAGCAGCTCCCAGTCAGTCCAGTACATCCTTAGAGACCAGACCAGGAGAGAAAACATACTGAGACACAACTGAGACCAGACTCAGACCAGACCAAGACCAGGAGTAAGACCAGGAGTGAAAAAAGATGGAGACACAACTGAGACCAGATTGAGACTAAATTGAGAACATGCTGAGACCAGCCATAGATCAGACTGAGACAGGACCGACTAGCTATAGACCAGACAAAGGCAAGACCAAGACTAGCTATAGACCAGACAAAGGCAAGACAAAGACTTGCTATAGCCCAGACAAAGATAGGACCAAGACTAGCTATAGACCAGACAAAGATAGGACCAAGACTAGCTATAGACCAGACAAAGATAGG